TGGCACACCAGGAATTCCTCTTGCGATTTCAGAAAACTTGGCTAACAGTGTGATAGGAACAACAATTACTGGGACCCAAGTTGGATATAAACGCAATGCTTGTATTGGAAGTTGTAAGCATCATATATGGCAAGCTATAAGAGCATCGTCTGCAGCTCCTTATTACCTTGATGATTTCTCTGATGGTAGTTGCTTCCCGTGTTTGCAAAATGATTGGTATTTTGCATCGCATTTTAGAAGCATTATCTCCTGAGACATCTCCATTTGTTTTCTTCTGCAGATGTATATCGCTGGCAAGATGGTGCCATTGTAGCTAATAATCCTACTATTTTTGCCATACGAGAAGCACAACTTTTATGGCCTGATACAAGAATTGATTGTTTAGTGTCAATTGGATGTGGTTCTACTCCAACAAAGGTAACCTCAAAGTTTGAATATATACCTGGGTGGTGTGAACACATATGAAGACTTCAAGGCATTGTGATAATTGTGCATATAGATAATTTTTGGGAACCATGTCGAATTTTTGTGGTGAAAGAGAGCTTTTTGATAATTGATAGGCACCTTAATGTTTTGGGGTACAAATGTTTGCTTGCTTGTGCATAAATATATTTGAAAACATATTCCTTGATATAAGATGTCATTCCTCGTTTACTGGATCAATCTTCGAAGAAGTCCTTTCCCCTTTTGCTTCTTTTTCCCTCTTTATTATCTATATTTATTCTCTCTTGTTTGTTTTTTTAATTGCAGGGGGTAGTTGTGACCTGTAACACTTATTGGATGATCCTGGTGCTACTAATTGATTATTTTTCTATTGTACTTTGTGCTTTACTAGGTTCGGAAAGGTGGGTGGCGTTATTTGGATACTGGGCAAGTATTGATTGAGAGTGCATGCTCAGTGGACCGGGTGGAGGAAGCTTTGAGCACATTGCTTCCTATGCTTCCTGAAATACAATATTTTCGGTTCAATCCAGGTGAAGTTTTGATTCATAAATATTTCATTTGGACACGTGACATTACACATTTTTCTCATTGTTTAAACCTTGGAAGCAAGTTGAGCTATGTTTGCCTGTTTCAAGTTGTTGATAAATTGTATAGGAATATAGATGTTGAGTTGAGTTGATGATCCAGGAAACCGCCTGCTACTGAGTTGTCAGAATTGACACATTTTAGTTTTAACATTTCTATGTTTATTTGCATTTGCAGTTGATGAACGGTGTGACATGGAGCTCGATGAGACTGATCCTGCTGTTTGGCTGAAGCTGGAGGCTGCAACTGATGAGTACATCCAAAACAACTCTCTGACATTCAAGAATGTCTGTGAAAGATTGCTGCAGAACCTGCATGATGAGAGATTGTCAGATAATTTGAAGTCTCATCAGTTCCTTAAGGCAAAGGATTCAAATTCTGGTATGGGTACTAGTTTTTTCTGTAGTTGCTGTAGGTTTTGTTTCTCAGATGTTATCTGATGTTGACCTTTTTGTATTTGACAGTGCTGGATGAGAATAGTCCCTCTTTAGGTTGGAGACGTAGTGTGCTACTTGTGGAAGCTTCTAATAGTCCTGATTCTGGAAGAGTTTTTCACCATGCTCGGTCACTTGAGACATTCTGTACTCGTAATGGAATAAGATTCACTCTTACGAATGGGGTATCAGGAACCTCTAAGGCAGCACCAGGAATGACATTTCCGACACCTTTTGTGTCACCTTTGTTCACGGGAAGCTTTCCATCAAGCCCACTTCTATACAGTCCTGATGTTGGCCCCAGGGTTGGCAGAATTGATTTAGTCCCACCTTTAAGCTTGGATGGATTACAACCTGGAAAAGCTGCCACTTCACTACCAGAGTCTCCTTCTGGACCCAGACAGCTTTCTTTGCCCGTCCTGTCGTTGCACGAAAAACTACAGAATTTGCCACAAGTTGGAGTTATACATTTGGCTCTCCAAAATGACATGTGTGGCTCCATTTTGAGGTTAATTTTCTACTTTCTTGTTCCTCTTCCGTGCTGCTTTTCACATGTAATTGTTGTCTGATTGGTTCCTAAATAAGCTCTTGGATGTGTATGCTGTAGTTGGCAGAATGACGTATTTGTGGTTGCTGAACCTGGAGAACTTGCAGATAAGTTTCTGCAGAGTGTTAAATTTAGCTTGTTGTCCATGGTGCGGGGCCAACGCAGGAAGTATGCATCAGTCATTACCAACATCACAACTGTTGCTGATCTGGTTGCATGTAGGCCACACTTCCAAATTGGCGGTGTTGTCCACCGTTATATAGGACGCCAAACACAAGTATGCATCTTTGACTTCTGCCTTCTCTTTTCTGTTAATCTATTTTGTTATTGGAGACTAAGATGATGAAAAGTGACTATTATCTTTCTGCTATGTTATGAAGGTAATGGAAGACGATCAAGAAATTGGGGCATATATGTTTCGTAGGACAGTCCCTTCTATGCATTTAACTCATGATGATGTTCGTTGGATGGTATGTTGTTTTATGTTTGATATTTTGGTACTCATTTTCCTTGGGATTATTGGAAAAACTTGTTGATAATATAAGGGACGTTTGTTGAGCTTCCATGGTCGACTTGTTTGCTAAAATTTTTTTTATTGTTCAGCTGCGAATCAATTTATCTGCCATCTGTTATATTTTCATCCAAATGGAGAATGACAAGCAGAGTTTTAAACCTAAGATAACGTTTTAGTAGGATTATTTAGTGCTGTACCTGCATTCTTTTTTTTTTTGGATGGCATTAAAAGCATGCAATTATCATATTTTTTAAGTCAGTTCTTCTTGATGATATACCCTCTTGTCTTTTTGGATAATTTGGGGGAATCAAAATCTTAGAAACGTCGGTGAGAACCTAAAAGTTGGGCAAGTGAACGTATTGAAAATAATGGCGTATTTATCATATCTGCAAAGCCAGCTGAATGTCTTATTGAAAATAATGGCTCACTAAAAGTTGGGCAAGTGAACGTTGCCACAGTGGTGATTGTTATGTTGTCTTGCCAATAATGTTGGCTCACCGCCTGTGAGAGTGGTGTTGTAAGCACAACATATGGTTGTGATATCGGGATACAGTATGCTCATATATTCTAATTATTGAATTTTTTTTTGACTTGATTACCGTGCTCTCTATAACAGACTATGCTTATGCTAATTACTTTTTGTAAGACTATAAAAGGGAATATTTTGCATATTTTAGTTGTTTTACTCTTCCGACTGATGCTTTGTCATTGAAACTTTCAGGTTGGAGCTTGGAGGGAAAGGATTATAATCTGCACGGGTCTATATGGGCCTACTCGAACTTTAATTAAGGCGTTTCTAGACTCTGGTGCCAAAGCTGTCATCTGTTCTTCAGCCGAACCCCAAGAAATGCAGTTGACGACATTCCATGGGCCAGGTGAGTTTAATGTTTTGGAGAATGGGAAGTTTGAGATCGGAGAGGAAGAAGTAGAAGATGAAGAGATAGAACCTGTCAGTCCTGCGAGTGACTGGGAAGATAGTGAGCCCGAGAAAAAAGGAGAACGTTCAATGTGTTTTTGGGATGATGATGAAGAGGAATTGTCTCAGTTCGTGTGCCAATTATATGATTTGTTGTTTCGGGGAGGGGAGAGAGTGGATGTTGCCTTACAGCATGCTCTATCCTCGCATCGAACCTTGAGGTATAAGTGCCATCTCCCCAGAGTACTGTAGTTTGTAAAAAGGAAACATTTATACATGAAACTGTAAACCAAAAGCAAGAAACAAAAAATAAATCAAAGAGAGAGACAAAAAAATACCTTTTGAAAAATGAGGAAGAGAAATAAGATGGAACATCCAATTTTGAGGCTTACCATTTGATTTGTACGTTATTTATATAATTAAATTCGTTGGGTTAACTAAGTGTTGCCTAACAATATAGCTATTTGAATTGGATTACTTTTTGTATATGCATTTACATTGTCCTCTAATATTATTTTGTTCAATATGTGCATATATTTCTCCTTTGATGTCATAAATATCTAATGCACCAATAATAGAGTAGAATAGTAGTAGTTGGGTATTGTGGATTTTATCTCTCATGAATACCCTAATCTTAGTATAGATGACCTGTTTTTGACCGAACTGAACTAGAAAGGAGATTAGTCGAGATGCGTTGAGGAGATTAATTAAGGTGCACTGCACTAGTAATAGAGTAGAATAGTAGTTGAGTATTGTGAGTTTTATCTCTTATGAATATCCTAGTTTCAGCGTGGATGATATGTCTTTAACCGAATTTGGAAAAAGATTAAAATCGAGTTGTACATAAGCTGGTTTGGACACTACTGACCGTTAGACTAAAAAAACATAGGCCGAAGAGCGATTGGCCTTCTCGGGCTTGCTTACCCTGGGTTTGACTTCCGGCAATGGCTTCCACATACACAGATGTTGCTTTCATCTGATTGTTACCACTCATCTACATCTGCCTTTATGTGAAAATAATATTGATTTGTCAATCAATCAAGTAGCATTTTTCTTGATTTATAGCGATGCGTTCTAACCCTTCATGGTGATTGATTACCTGTTGGATAGCGGTCATAGGTTGTGTCATGTCATTTTTATATCATGTCAATCCATAGCCCCTCTTAAAGAATTGAAATAATGCTGATTGTAATCGCAGGCTCTTCAACTATAATACTGGGTTGGATTAGAAAACTGTTCCACTACAAGAAGAAAGAAGAATAATATGTTTCTTGTGTCTAGTAAGAATGTGTTGCATTCATTGCAAGCCTAGAACCACACAATGTGCAGAAAAGTGGATTATATTCCAACTATTCTATCATCCCACTTTTAAAATCATCAATAATATAAAGCAAAGGGAAAAAGAAGAAAAAAAAAAGCAAGAACACCCAGGACCACCATACTTAAAGATCAGTCGGGTGGATTCATCATATAGAAAACACCAAGAGTCCCACCTAAAACAGACTTCAAAGAATTTATCCTAAGCTAATTATACTAACAACAATCCGCCGGACAGTTCGGATGGGAAGAATTCAGGGTTTGTTTTTAGAGTCGATTATAGCAACAGTGTCCGATCTACCCGATTTGTGTGTGATTGCACCCACGAGGTTGGATCATTGTCATAAGTCCAAATAACACATGGTTGAGACAAATCTTCGACAACAACAACAAAAAATAAGTCTAGATTACCGTAGGGTGTAAACATATTGGGCGCGTAGGATTGGCAGAGATAAGTTTTGACCAAATTAAATTTTTCACTAGTTGCCTTCGGACAAAATGATCATAGGTTCTCAATTACTGTGATCATGATCCATAATGTGTAACATGAAGAAACCATTATATGACACAAGAAGTCAAAAAAGAGATGGTAAATTTGAGAACTTTTTACGTTTTTGATTGCAAAAACAAGAATATGATGATCACATCTCTATCGAGAGTTTCTTTTTCCCTCCACTTTAAACAAAACATGTCCATAAGCACAGTATAAAGGCAAATAAGAGGTGCACCAAACTCTAAGCAATCCTCCCTACCAAGCCAAAGACCTAACACCCTCAATCTTCTCCATTCAAAAGCCTCAGCTTACTTTAATATATTGAAAAATGCTATGTAGAACCAGCACCATAACCAGCAAATTGCCTGAGAAAATGAGCACAGCAGCCCCGGTTGAGGTGGGCACGCGAGGCACAGTTGGATCACTTCTCAAGAAGGAGCTTGAGTATTTCAGAAGACTCGAATTAGATCGTTGCGAAAGCTCTATAAAACCTGAGAGACAGAGTGTGGATATGGCCTCTAGTGGAGGTAACCCATGGCCTAGTTTTGGTTTCTTGACGGTGTCTTGGAGGAGGAAGAAGAGAAGAGGTAGCGCGTTCCTACCACGTGTTTGCTCTGCTGTGGAAGTAGCAGAAAGCTATCAGATGAATGGGATTTCTAAGTTCAGTTACAGGAACCTTAAAGCTGATGTGAAGAATTGTGAGATTTAGACAATAATGTTGTAAAGGTCTGAGAACAGAACTTGAAAAGTCAGGTAGGTGTTAGGCAGGACTAAGCTTCCCCCCAATGTTATGTTTCTTATCAGATGATTTGTTTTCAGAGTTTTTGCTTTCTGTGGCTATACCTTGTTAGGTGATGTTTACTTGCTTCATTTGATTAGATTGATATCAAGTAACATCTACGCTTCCAGTGAAATTGGACATGTACATTTGTGCGATTGTCTATAGTCCTCGATTTTGTATTTGATAGATCTTTTGCACCGTGTTATGAGGGAATCATGTTTCTACATGCAGGGTAAGGCTGTGTAGCTAACCCCAGGGTAGGGATGTCTCGTGCAGACCGCACTTTTTTTTTTGTTTGTTATGAGGGAGGGAACCAGATTTCCAAGAGTGCCTCGTATGATGGAGTCTCTACAATCCTTGGTAGGCTCAAGTTAGAACCATTATCCATTCAAGTTCTACACACTCGATAATTTTGTATATAGTTTTGTCATTTAATTCTCTGGATTACACCCTTTGAGTTTCATTTAGATTGAAAAGAGACAAGCATGGGGATAGTAGTCTGTCATTTCAAAGTACATCACGGTCTACAAGCAACACTAGAAATACCTGCGAAGGCAACCCGATTATGAGTTTTTATTTTTTTTTGAGGCGGGGAAGGAAGCTCCATTCATAAGACTTAACTCACAAACTAAATAATAAAGAACGTATCATTCAAAGAAATTATTGTCATGGGAACACACATATAGAGGAAGCTCATTTATCAATTCACCACAGCTAGATTAGAATAGGGTCTTGTTGTACACAGACTCAACAAGCAACTCCCAATGAACAAACTCAAGACTACTTACTATATCCAGTTATGTAGATTTTGATTTTCTGAACAAGGAAGCTCTTCAAAATACAAATCAAGAAATACCAAGTCATAATAATATGGCTTAAAACCATAAGGGCGAAGAGAAGGCTTAAAACTATAAGGCTTGAATACTACAGTCCAACCAGATATGAGACAACTTAAAATTATATAATTTTGGATAAATTTCATAAATGCCCCATAAATTATGTCTTTTTTTTAAATTATCCCCTAAATTTTTAATTATCTCAATTTACCCATAAACTATATAATTTATTTCAATCGACCTCTTCCATTAAGATTAATTTTTAAATGAGATAAACTAATAATTAATTTTAAACAGAATCTGTCTCATTTATCAGTTAATTTTAACAAAAATTGTCGATTAAAACAAACTACATAATTTATGAAACAAATTAGGTCAATTAAAAATTCAAGGGACAATTTCAAACAAACGTCACAATTCATTGGGTGTTTATGAAAATTTGTCCAAAATTATATAAACTTACTTCCTTCGTTTCAAGAAACTATGTCTCCTCGATTATGTAATTTAACTCAATGAGATTCGATGTTAATTTTAACGAAAACTTTTACATGCACTTCACGTGAGTAAGAGATTAGGATAATTAGGAATATACACGTAATGTTAACATAGAGGAGGTCCGTTAAAGTTAATAATAAATTTGAAAGGAATTGTCACATTAAGTCAAATTACGTAGTTGAGAGGTTAAAAATTTACATAAAAATTAGTTTAATGACTTTATTGACACATCTATATTATAAAATATCTATAATATAATATAAAATAAAACAGACTTCAATAAACTCATCTGATAGTTTTAAATAGACTTAACGGTCACCAACATCTATAATTCTCAAAATTATTCATATTACACATTGCTTTCAGACACGAGTTACACAGCTAGTATATCATAATTTAGGACCATCCGAATAATTAACTCCTTTAAATAATAAAAACTTAAATTAAATATTTTAAAGTACATTATTCACCCCCAACATATTTCAAAGTCTCCTCTAAATCCCCTCGCTCTTAAACCCTTACTTAAAAATTAAAATTGATAATTTTGATCATTAATTATTATTAAGTCGAATTTTTAAGTCTAGCGTTCCTCAAAACGAAATTTGCTGTTTTTGTGTCTTCTCCGAGCAATGCTTCCTAATGGCGATCTTCAGGTCGCTGAGAACTCTAGCTCGAAACCCTAATTCCAGAGGTTTTCTCTCACTTTCTCTCTCTTCCTCAACTCCACTCCCATCCCCTTCACATATTCTGTCTCATCATCTCCAAAACCCCTTACTCTACCGCTCTAGATTTCTCTCTCCTCTCTCCAATGGACCACTCTTCCTCTCTTCTCCACCTTGGAAGCTCTCTCAGTCCGCCACTCCTCTCTACATGCAATCCGACGTTGTTTCTCTCCCAAATGTTGAACATTTGAATTTGCTTCGAAGACGAAAATTTCCGATCAATTTAGGGTTTCAGTCGGTTGTTTCTACTCGTGGTCTACTTAAGGAGACTAACAGGAAGGAGTTCATCCATCAAGAGGAAAATATTACTCGTGGTGGATTGACAGATAGTTTCGTGAATTTGCCGAATTTGATTTCGATGAGTCGATTGCTTTCGGGGCCATTGCTTGGTTGGTATGCCCTAATTTCTTTAAATTAGTTCATACACAGTATATCTAGGCATACATGAGAGATTATAGTTGTAGCTCTGTCTGCATATGGGCTTGGAAGGTAATACTGCTGAAGCTATGGGAATGAGTTCAAACTTGACATATATGTACTCTGTTTACTGCTATTTGTATAATTGGTTTCAGTTCAAATGTGCTATATGGTGAAAAAGAAAACTCGAGCTTGTGGGTGTACAGTGAATAAGATAGCTAGAGTTATGTTTATTGGATTGTTTATTGCCTTTTGGGTATGTGTTGTGGGTGCATGTGTTGCACTGCATTCGGCAATTCTCAGACAATACTTTTGCCAAAAAAATAAGGAAGGAAGGAAGGAAAAAAAAAAAGGGATGCGTCAGTTCTTGTATAAGAAGAAGATCAGTGGAATGCTCATTCTCTTCAATTAAAGTTTGATCTGGCCAGTTTGAAAATGCTATTTACAACTTCCTTTTCTATTTTATTTTGATTTACATTTTGCAGGATGATTACACAGGAAATGTATCTTCCTGCATTTGTTGGACTGGCCATCTCTGGGGCAACAGACTGGGTATGAATCCTGTTCAAGTTTTTCATCTTAAATACAACTGTTAGGTTTTTATTAATTTTTGGGTGTCTTCTATCTCATAGCTAGATGGATACGTGGCCAGGAAGATGGGAATAAATTCTGTAGTTGGTTCTTACCTTGATCCTCTTGCTGACAAGGTAAAACGGCACTTAGGCTTAGGGCGTTGGCGAGCTGCCTTTAATTGTTTGTTGTAGTTCTAGAACATTTCTGTTTCATTTAATCTCTGGGGTGGCTTAACATTTTCTGTATTATTATCTTGTGTTTATGCAGGTTTTAATTGGGTGTATTGCTTTAGCAATGGTAGATAGGGGTCTTCTGCATCGTAAGTAAAGATTGTATTTCTTTTTCTTTCTGATGGATTCTAGATTGTTGGAGAATTGCTATTGCAACTGAAGTTAAAATAAGATGTATCATGTATATGGATGCACAATTTAACATGGTAAACAGAGTAAATTTAGACACCTTGGCCTTTTAAATAAGTTTTATCTTGGTTGTGTGTGCCATTCAAATGTGGTACTTCAACTATTTTGATTTCTTAAAGTTTTGTTATTCCATTTTTTCGTCTCGTTTTCTGAGGTGTTTAGGTTTGCCGCTTCATCCTATGTATTGTTGGACTATTGGAGTAACAATGTGTACCAGGGTGTAACTAGATCAGTTTAATTGGTTAAAATATAAAACGATATGTAATTTGATCCATGTCCATTGTTTTGATAGACTGCAACTCCAGTCTAAACTAAGACAAACGTTCATACACATGCCTGAAAACACTCAAAACAATGTGATATATTTTAAATTCCTGGTTGAAAACTCTCATTTAGTTTTTTGTTGGTAAAGCTGGACTTGTTGGACTAGTTGTGCTGCGTGATGTTGCCCTCATTGGTGGTGCAATATATAAAAGAGCTAGTAGCTTGGAGTGGGAGGTGAGGCTAACTAACTTTAACTTGTGTAGTTAGTTAGCTGAAGTATTTGTTTGTGCTGCACTACTTAGTTGAATTTCCTCTCTTATCAGTGGAAAAGTTGGTATGATTTCTTCAATCTTGATGGGACATCTCCCCAGAAAGTTGAGCCTCTCTTACTGAGCAAGGTAAGCTTTATGTTTGTTGGCCTGAATTTTCGGTGCACACTGGCCGTAGTGATTAGATAATGTAGGTAGCATGCAATATATGATTGGTGGAATACCAGTAGAGTTGGATACAGCCAGTCAGGAGGGAAGAAGAAAAGAGAATTAAACTGAGAGGAAAATGGTCCAAAATATGCAAGTAGATGACGACCAATATGTTGAGTGCACCAATGCGAAACGTTGTAAGAGTTGTATTTTTGTTAATCGTGGGCTGGAATTCCCTCTCTCCTGTATAACTTAAATAGCAAACCCAAGAAGTTTCTTGATCTGGATTTCACATCGAAAGTACTGGCAGATGTCAGGTGATTGTTAGGACTTATGCATATAGTCAATATAATTAGAAAGATTATCAGATAAACTATCATGTTTATGATTTATGCTCAAAAGCTGTTATTTGTCTAAGTGCTGCAATTTATTGACAGGTGAATACGGTTTTCCAGTTGGTCCTAGTTGCTGCAGCTCTTCTTCAACCGGAGTTTGGCACTGAGGAAACGCAGTCATACATTACATATTTGAGGTGATACCAGTTATAATTGTCTGTATTCAACTTTGTATTGACAAATCTCCAGAATCGGAGCCCACCATACATTTTGAATTATTGCAGTTGGCTGGTGGCTTCAACAACGGTGGCTTCCACTGCAGCATATGGAGCACAACAGTTTAGAAATGGATCTATCTTGATGAGAAAGAACGTATAGACTGATTTCACATCACAGACTGTTTAAACACTTTTTTGGTCTATTGCCAGGTGGGTGCCATTTTCAAGGCTTTAAAATTAGAGAAGTATTAGGTTTGTTTTTTGGATCTTATGCCACTAAGGAAAAGAAACAATTCGCTTCTAAAATGTCATATGATATCTTACAAATTTTGCGGAATATAGATGAGTTCATCTGCAGAAGTTGAAATTTGGCTCAATATGAGATGATAAATGGGCGGCAGATGTTACTTCCAATTGAGCTGTAAAGTAGAATTCTCTTTCTTTTACTGTCTTTTTTTTTTTAAAAAAAAACATGCTATTGTATAGCACTAGTCAGGATGAAAATTGAATATAATAGAAATCAATTACTTGTATAATTTGTGATGTTTATGATCATCGTTACATGTTTTCAACAGCATTTGTTCCTCTCTTTGCATAAACGCGATGGTTATATTGGAAGATTTTTTTGTTCATACTGTCGTAGTGCATCTAATCCAACTGTTGGCCATAAACATGAGCAAAATATCTTTATGCTCATTTCATGTCTCAGCTTCATCTCTTCCAGCTACATTCTCATTCAAACTCACGGTGAGTAGAAAATCAAAATCAGAAGTAGCAGCCTCATTTCACATTATGGTTGTTGTTCAAGTTATCAACTGCTCTCTCTCTCTCTCTCTCTCTCTCTCTCTACACCCTCAATGATGTGTGGAACCGTGGGACCTAGCAAGCCTTCACCATCTGCTGATAAGACTAAGATAAATTAATCGGCCGCCTCTACATGCATGACCACTAGGTACACTACTGTTAGCATTTGAATGACATCATAATCTGATTTGATTTTCCCATTTGTAAACTTTCCCCTCTCATCGCAGAGTCGGCCTTGGCCTGTCTGAGTTCCAGGCCTCCAGCCTTGCACTACACAAGAAGGAAGCTTGGCAACACAATGCAAACATGGTAGAGGAAGATCTGTCAGTCCGAAACAAATATCCTGGACACTAACCCTGAATCCACTCTTAAAAGGTTTTAAAACAAGAATCAAATAACACAATCCTGCGCAATGAGTAAGTGGCACATCCATGATAACCATAATATGAAATACGTGCTCTTCTCTCCCAAAACTAATATACTAACAGAAAACCTGGACAGATTGATAGCAAAGTCTTCATGGTCTTGTATCCAAAGGTTTCCCGATTAAAAAGATGGGACAGACGGATCAACAGACTGGAGACCCATTCCGGTCAGTTCCTAATGCCCGAGCCTGTGTTACATAGGGGAACCAATGCTGTGAAAGTTAAAGGTGAAATTGGCGTAGGAAAGTCCAGTCAAAAGAATTATAAAAGCTAGTTTTTCAAGCAAATTTTATGAACTTGACAAAGAAGGTATACTGTACACAAACCACCAAGAAGTTCTGCTTGTTACAATACAGGAAAATTGAAGTACTCAAAAATGAAACCAATATGTGTTGAGTTCAAGGTGCCTCCAAGATAACACATGAAAGAGACAGCATGAGTTTTCAATCAAGAAATCGCTTCCATCAAAATAACCAAACACATATAGTGAACAACTGGTGAGAGAGATGCTTTAAAACCAACAGCTATCCAATCAAAAGAGCAAAGTCCTTTGAGATTGGTAATGAAAACAGATGCCAGCTAGTTCAACAATTCGAAATGAAAGAACTAACATATCTGAGATGCAAATTTTCATACAAATCTACCTAAGCTTTTCAATTTTATTACCGAATGCATTACATAACAAAAAAAAAATTCATACCATCTGTGTCTTGTTTACTTAGGCAAGTTCTCTTCAATTTCAGTCCACTTATCAGCAACCTTTGGAAATTTCTCCTTCATCTGCCGTGCAATCTGGTGAGCCTCATCAACCTTTGAACTGCTTGCAAGCCCATTCACAAGTGACTTCATGGTCGAAAAGTTGGGAACCCAACCTTTTTCCATACTCTCCTTACTGATTTTCAAAGCAGTCTCAAAATCCTCACCTTGACATAAGAAATGCACCAAAGTAAAATAGCAATCACTATCCGGTTTAAACCCACTATTCACCATTTTATTGAAGAAACTCTTCGCCTCGTCCAATTTCCCTTCCTTGCAAAACCCATGAATCAAATGACAGTAAGTCACTGAATTAGGTTTCATTCCCCTGGACAACATCCCATCAAGCAACGCCTTCGCCTCGACCGACCTGCTAAGTTTACACAAGCTCTGAATCCTAATATTGTATATACTAACCCCCGGAGACATATCGCGTTTCTTCATCATTTCCAACACCTTCCCAACATCATCATACTTCTCCTCCCTATAAAATCCAGCAATACAATTCCCAAACGACAGCGCATTCGGTTTCACACCCTTCCTCTCCATCTCAGACAATATCGAATACACAGAACTAGACGAACCGGACTCGCAAAATGACTTTAAAACCGTATTGTAAGTATCAAGATCAGGCTCAATCCCATATTTTCTAGGAAATTCAAGAAATATCCTCTTAACCTCACCATAATTCTTAGCAAGCACACAAGAAAACAACAGGGCATTCAAAGATTTTACCGTCCGATCGACACCCAGATCATGTGCTTGTTCAAATGTCCGAATGGCATGGTCCAGCATGCCAGCCTGACCATACAGGATAATGCAGCGAGAAATGAAGCCTTCTGTCTTCAAATCGGGTCGGGCCTTTAATTCTTCGAGGAAAGAGCGAATGCCCTCGAAGTAATTGGAGTCTTTGAGCTTGGAGATTGCTAAGGAGAAGGCAATGCGGTCGAGATGGGAGTCTGGGGTCAGGGACGCGGCTCGGCAGATTTCGAGGATTTTTTCTGGGTTTTTCTCGGATTTTAGGAGAGATAAAGCAGCTCTGGATTTTTCTTTGCTACCTAATGGTGATTTAGAGTCCGGGTTTAGAATTGATGAGAAATGGCGAAGCTGGACTGAATTCAATCGAAGATTTAGTAAGCTCAATCGAAGCTTATACTGAAAAGCCATTGACTCTTGACGGTTTTGTGTGTGTAATGAGAGAGAGAGGTTTGGGGGTTTTGAATTTGGAATTAGGGTTTAGTGTGGGTTGCGGTTGGAGAGAGAGGACGGAAAGCCCAACAAAAGCCTGAAAAAAGAAGAGGTTTCTTAAAATTTGTCACTTAAACCGTCTAATATTTAAAAGATTACACATAAATCCTCTAACGGATATGCGCGTAGCACTAATAAATTATATTTAAATCTCCTTAAAATTTATAAATATATATTACTTAAATTCCTTAAGTTTTAAATATTATACTTAGAGTAAAAATGCTCCAATTAAAGATAAAATATTAAATATTTTAAATTTTACAACTAAAATTCATATTCTATTGTATCATTTATTGAAATAAAATCAAAAATAAAAATTTAATTTTTTTTAAAAAAATTATAATTAGTTTACATTTATATTGTCTATTAGAATTTAATTTGATCGTTTAAACAACCAAATTAACTATCAAACTATCTCAATTAAAGTTAAAAGATATTGTGTCAATTACAGTTTGACTCTATTAATTTTTTAGTTTAATTCTAATAGATAATATAATTATATACTAACTATGATTTTTTTTAAAAAAATTAGATTTTTATTTTTGATTTTATTTCAATAGATGAAATAATAGAGCATGAATTTTAGATGTAAAAATTATGTTCTATAATGAATGACTTAGACCCTTTGTTTGATTTTTTAGTTTTATTCCGATAGATAGTATAATTGTATACTAATTAATATTTTTTAAGAAAAAAATAAATTTTTAATTTTAATTTTTTTTCAATAGATGATATAATAGGACATGACCTTTTGTTATAAAATTTAAAATATTTGATATTCTATATTTGATTGGAGTATTTTTTGTCTAAATATAATATTTTAAATTTAAAAGGGTTAGGTATCATATACTTACAAATTTCACGGGAGTCTAAATATAATTTATTAATATATATATTTAGGGGTCTAACTGTTGCGTACGTACAAATTTTAAGGGGTCTGTGTGTAATTTTTCTTGAAATAATTTATTGTTGACAGAGCAAGAGTGGCTATTGCCAGAGAAAATGATGCCTTTTAAAGTTGCACATTGCCCTGACAATAGCAAATTTTGTGTTGGCAGTAAAAAAAATTTAATCCGAAAAAGAGAGAAGTGAACCCGACGTGAATCGAACACGCAACCTTCTGATCTGGAGTCAGACGCGCTACCATTGCGCCACGGATCCCAGTGGTTGATTAACTTGAACTTTTATATATTAGATTATATTAATAAAACAGAGCATCTTAATCTTCAACCCAATAATATTCCCAACATATATACTTTTTTGGGTAAAAATCATTCGGACCCCTGAGTTTTGTCTTAATGACACAGACACCCCCTCATATTTTATTAATTACAATGACACCCCTATCATAAACGGAGTTAATAGAAATTGTACAATGACAAGAATAACCCTAATTTTTTTGAATTATAATATTGTCAGTTAAACCACAATGCATAAAATGACATAAATATCCACCTCACTACCAAAACCCTAAAAAATCGAAACCATCGTACAACCCATCGTTTGCATAGAGAGAAAGAGAGAGAAATCGAAACCCTTCACAACCCATCGTTTGCCTATAGCCGTTAACCCTTCTCACCCCAAATCGAAACTTTCCTCTTCCTTTTCCTCCCCGATTCCCCCACAGCCTCCTTCTTTCCACAATCCCCACAAATCTCATCACCTCTTGAACTCAAAAGCCCTAAATTCCACAATGTATTGGCTCCACCAAAGATCTAACCCTACAAGTTGAGCGACACCTACTGGGCATTGATGCCAAACGATTCTAGTCCACCATTTTGCTCGAATTCTTGCGTTGTCATACTCGTTTCAAGAGTGTCAAGTTGGGTTGTGGCCAAGGTCTCTCCACTCACTCTCTCTATCTCAATATATGTATAAATAAATACTCATTTTCATTCTATATTCTGTGTGGGGATGTGTTGATGGGTTTTATTTTCTCTATCTCTACACTTATCCACCAACCCACTCACATACACGTGCTTGTGTCTTAATCAAGTTAGAATTGTTCGATTTTGGGTTGATGAGCTTTCTTCATGTGAATAGATGGGCTTTATTCATGGGAAAGATGACTATATTATGTTTGTTCTCTGTACTTTTTGATTTTGAGTGTTGTGTATGAGTAATTCCTTTGCTTTTACTGCTTTGGGGTTTTATGTGGCTAGTTAGAAGCTTCTCCAAGTGGTTTAGTTGGACTTTGATTAATTTTCTTTATTAGGATAATGGGAAAATATTTAAATTCTTTTCACTTATTCTAATTTTGTGCTTAGTTGTTTTATTTTATTTGTATTTTCTTTGTAAATAAGAAATTTAGGAACGGAAGAAATTAATTTATTTGATGCTGGTTTTCATTCTCTAGGGACTAGGGAAGTATAAGTTTTTCCTGGACTATGCTTTGGGAAATATTCGGCTCATTAGGTTTAATGTTTGACATTCTCCTCTGTTCCAAATGACCATTGAAGATTAAAGCAACTCTAATTGTTGACTTAAGCATTTTTCATTTCTCTACTCAGTTGTAACAAATTTTTTTTTCTGTTTTGTAGCATTTTTCTATTTTGCTTGTAACAGAAAATCAGAAATTATTTTTTTTAACAGGAAAACAAGAACTAATTTTCCTATTTTCCTCCACCTGAGTACATAGATACATGTGTATAGGGAAGCTAATATTATAGCAAATTTTATGGCCTCTTTTGCTGTTAAAGTTGAGAGAGTTCTACTGATTTTTCTACAAATGGTCCAGAAATGCCGAGAGTGATTCTGCATTAGGTTTTTCTAGCTGGTCCAGAAATGCAACATTTGTACAGGAGAGACTTTCACATTTCTTTTATGGTTTTGTACTCTTGTAATTTTGAGATTTAATCAATAAAATTTTTCTTTTTTATTAAAATTTTTCTTTTTTCTTAATTGGTTGATTCTTCATATCAAATCATTGTAGATGAACTATATAGTGAATCCACAGAAAAATAATGGAGAGAGAGAAAGGGTAAAGGTTTAAATTTCTTCACTTAGTGGGTCTGAAGGATATAATAGAATTTCTATTATATATTTTTGGAAAAATTTTAATATATAATACTTAATCTTACTATTGAGGGCAAATTTTGGAATTACAAGGATTTTTTATGGAGATGTCACTCTTCTCCGTCTACATTATTGACGGCCATGGAACAGAGGGGGTGTCCGTATAACGAGTTTCAAATGTGAGGGGGTGTCACTATAATTAATAAAATGTGAGGGGGTGTCCGTGTCATTAAGACAAAACTCAAGGGGTCCGAATGATTTTTACCCTACTTTTTTTTATTACAGAGTGTTAAAACTTGCGCCGATTATTTTCTCGAGCTCAGTGGCTAGTTACCATGATTTGAATTGAGTTAGAACATATCTCTAAAGGGACATGAGTGTCTAGTCCTTAAGGTGTGTGAAAATAAATTAAATCTGAAACATTTGGATTATCATATGTCAAACTTAACAACTGAACCACCCCTAAAAATTTTAATTTAAATCATTTAAATTTTACGACTTGTCTTTATTACTTACATTTTAACTTAATAACTCTTTTTATTCATATCTATTCTTTTAACCGTAGTAAAATATTTAATAACTCACTAACATAGTAGCCACATTAAAAAAATGAAAAATATAATTTAAATCTAATTTATGAATCTAATCAATTATAGTTATTGAATCAAAAGTGTGATTCATAAACTCACAATTGATTTAACTATTGTATTGAATAAAATCCTCAAATTAAATCACTATAACATTGGTCTTAAAAAAAATTGATTTGTAAGGGTTCACATGAATAGGTCAATAATGACCCTCATTGACCATAGGAACATGATTAGTCATTTTCTAAATGCATCAACATTCAACACTATATTAAACCCCAATTATATTGTCGTATAAAAAAATGATGAAATATAGAGAGATTTTTTTCATAATTCCAGTTAATACAAGTATGATGCATAATTTAAGTGTACGTTTTAACAAACTAATTAATCATGACCCCTTATTTATTACACAAGCATAACTAATTTTTTTCTAAATTTGGTAACATTATAATAAACTCCAATCTTGTTTTATATAAAAACTGATAGTGCTCGAAAATACTTAGCCCAATTCCAGATCAATGTTTTGTAAGATTGGGGTGGGGTGGGGTGGGGTGAATAGTCTAGGCTAACAGAGAAAAAGTATGAGGAGATGAGATCAAATACAATACATAAATGGTTCACCCTAGTAGAAAAATCAGGGTTACGTCCACTGTAATGGAGGTTCTTGCTCCGTAAGGTTTGTATTGCCTGAAGAAGAAGGTTACAATAATTTTCTTAGCTTAAAACTAGTATAAACGGTGTCTCATGAGTACAAGTTTTTCAGATCCCTCTCTTTTTTTACAGCGTGAAGGTATTATATATATAAGTAGCCATCTAGGTTTTTTTTGGTGTTCTTCCCTCGGTTGATTTTGTGGTGTCTTCCTTTTTGTCTTGTAATGGTGACCGTTGTTCTGACACAAATCATCTCCACGATCCTTCAATGGAATGTGCACAAATAATCCATTTTCTAGTGAGTATGCATTCGTTAGTGGCTCTAGAAGCTGTCCCCCTAGACACGTGGCAGGATAGAAGGCGTTTGGGATTCGGTGAATACAGAGCTCCCTATCTCCGAGCTACTTACTGCTGAGCCTGTCATGATTGAGTAGGACTGTGCCGACTTGGGCTCTGTTGGACTCCCTTCTTTGGATTATAGCCCATTCTTATTGTGGAGCAGATACGCTGCAGAGAGGTCACTTGGGCTGTCATATAACTATTAGGCCAATTGGATGTTTTGGGTTTTTGATGGGCAACCCACGCCAAAATCCCATTATTATTAAAAATAGAAAAAGTTGCAAACAAAAGTTATATTCATAATAGGGATTAACCATGGTATTG